ATTTGTGTCCCCGTTTTGGAGAGAGGGGATGGGGTGTGCCCTGTGGTTTTGGAGTCCAGGGCCATCAATGTGCTGAGAACATTTATTTATCCAGTCTCCCCCATCTACGGTGCACCCATCCTTGCTCAAAGTATTTGTTCTCAAAAGCCCAAAATTTTGGTCTGTGGGCTGCGGCTACCTTTTGTCAGCCACCCATAGACGGTGCTGAGGATTCTGCAAAGGAGGAGGGTATGACTTTTGACTCCAACTGTCCCAGGTTTGACCAAGACTGGTCTGCCCCCACCGACAATGATGGATTTGGCCAGGGGTCATTTCATAGAAAAAGAGCTAGGGGAACTCATTAGCATAACTCATTAGCATATGCCACACCCTCTGACATCAGGGGCTCGGCGGTGGACCTGCAAAACCAGCGGGAGTGCGGGGAAGCCCCGCCAAGGCCCTCCCTGGCCCCAGGCAGGCAGGGGTGGGGAGAGGCGGGGAGGAAGCAACTTACCCTCCCTCTTCTCCTGCCTCCTCCTGGCTGAATGAGGGCTGGAAGCGGGGCAGCCGGAAGCAGGGGGCGGGGCTTCATCATGTTCCCCGCCCCCTGCACCTCACCCGGGGGAACAGCGTTCCCCCGCGTTCCCCCCCCCCAAAATGACCTCTGGATTTGGCTCAGTTTGGACAGTGTCTTGCGGAGCACCAAGCGAAGGTTCTCCATGATGTTGTGCAGCAGCAGAAGAACCCAAAGGCTGCTGTGATCAAGGAGCTGTGTAAGACGTGGGAGTCCAGACAACCTCCACCCGTGGTGCCGGCTGAATGGGGCATCCTGAGGGGAAAGTGAATTTCCAGCTGACTGGGCTGGGGCCTAATGATGACGTGGATGCCCTCCTTGACACATCTGAATGCACAGCAAGTGTAGCCCAATGGCCTGGGCCACCAGTGGGCTTATATTTGGGGGCCAGTAAAACCGGTAAGGAGCTGCGGTGGCTCAAGTGGTTAAGACGCTGAACTGCAGGCTGTGGAAGATCGGTAGTTCAGCAGTTCGAGACCAGAGTGTGCCGCATGACGGAGTGAGCTCCCGTCTCTAGTTCCAGCTCCTGCCAACCTAGCCGTTCGAAAGCAAGAAATTGCAAGTAGATAAATAGGTACCGCTTCGGTGGGAAGGGAACAGCGTTCCGTGCGCCTTGGTGTTTAGTCATGCCGGCCACATGACCACGGAAACGTCTTCGGACAGTGCTGGCTCTTCGGCTTGGAAACAGAGATGAGCACCGCTACCCTAGAGTCGGACTCGACTGGCTTTCGAGTTGAATAGTTCAGTTGTCCACGCTCCCTTTTTATTCTGCAGGGGTTACTTAGTGATTTCACTGTCACATGCTATAGTATCCTTCTTTCTGCAGGACCAGGAAGTACTGGGACATATGACAAGCATGGCAAATCATGGCCTCCATCACATGTATACAGCAGGAGCTACTCAGATTTAAATACGAGGCCTCTATTTTGTTTTTGCTTGTTTGTTAACTCTTCAAATGCTGGTGTTCAGCTGCTGTCGCTACGCAGCAAAAACTCATTTACACTCCAGTCTTTCTAATTCTGATATTCACTTGATTATGTATCCAAAGTGACACATATCTGCCAGAATATAAGGGGTGCCTTTTTGGCAGACTCTTGTGCCCGTCATTTCAACGCTGGAATGGGACAGGGGGTGGGGGATCCACAAAACTTCCCCACAAAATATGTCTGAAGGGGTCAAGTTTATCCAGGGATTGTTTGCTAGACAGATGGGCCACTGTTAGGTATTGCTAATCACTGAGTGATGGACATTTCTTAGTTGCCGTCCTGCTTTATTGAACTGTTTTTAATTATATATTAATTATCTTTGTATATCCATGTTGGGAGCCACCCTGAGCCCACTGTGGGATATAAATGCAATGAACAAATAAACAAACTGACTAGAGTCCCCAAAATGCCTTCTGAAAATCTTAAAGCCCTATACAACAAAAAAAACTTCAATAAAATTACACTCTGCTTCAGTCTGCTGTTGAAGGCAAAGTAGAAACTTCAGCTGGTACAGAATGCTGCCGCTCCATTCAGACCGGAAGTTAGGTGGAGGATGACAGTTCTCCCTTCTAAGCTGTGGAGTCTTGTGAACAAAACGTCTACTTTGTGAGCTACCAGCATTAAAGTTGTGAGTGAGCGAATTGAGTCTGCATAACTTAGTTTGCTCTGGAGCCATCCTTCTCGACCTACAACAAAAATGTGTGAGCCGGAGGCTAAAAATCTGTCAGCTAGCTCACACTAACTCAGCTGAGAGGGAACACTGAATTACACTTATTTTGTGGAAGCAGCTGCCACAAGCAGGTTAAGCTGTGCATGTCTTAAGTCCATGGATGTTACAGTGTGGATTGGCCCTATTCTGCAGTTGCTTTATTGGTTAGAGATCGGCTTCTGGGTTCAGTTTAAGGCAGGGCTTTTTTTTTGTAGAAAAAGCCCAGCAGGAACTCATTAGCATAATAGACCACACCCCTGACAGCACAGCTCATTGGCATATTAGGCCACACCCCCATGTTACCAGAAGTGTGGTCATCCAGCCACACCCACCTTTTGCTTCTTATTCTGTTGACCTTGTTTGTTGCCAAAACCCAGGGCCTTTTTTGTAGCAGGAACTCCTTTGCATGTTAGGCCACACACCCCTAATGTAGCCAATCTGAATGAGTTCCTGCTGTTGGGTGTGGCCTACTATGCTAATGAGCTCCTGCTGGGCGTGGCCAACTCGGGAGCCAGCCGGAACTCCGTTCCTGTGCGTTCCTGCCCAAAAATAGCCCCTGTTTAAGGTACTGGCCGAATAGTCCTTCAGGGTGTAGGACTCCCATATCTGCAGGACGGCCTCTCCCCTCTTGTTCCGCTGTGACAGCTCTGCTCACCTGTGCAAAGCTTCTGGAGGCGGTGCCATGCAAATGGGCAAAGGCATCAGTGTACCTGGCCACCCTCTGTTGCAGTTCGCACCGGTTGGAATGGCCTTCTTGACAAGGTCAGGATGCTACTATCTGAGAATCGAATTGCTCTGGGAGACATTTCAGTGTGAAGGGGATATTGTTGTACATGGTTATGCTCACACAAAAACAATTAATGTTTAAAAAAACTGTATTTGTTATTAGTTTTTAATATTTTTTTAATCCTACCTTGAGTTGTCGCGAGGAAGGCAGGCTGTGTAGGACTGAATAAAAGCCCCAGACGACTCACAGCTATGGCTCCGCTAGGAGGTTCCTTTTCTTCTCTGCCCTGCCTGTGTTGGTGCACGACATCAATGCCATGTTCCGAGCCTGCCGAGATATGCTTGAGTGTGCAGAGAAGTGAACGCAGGCACTTGTATATATGTTTGTATGTTTATCTGTATAGGGCACACTGGGTATTTACAAGCTGCTACTGTGGTTATAATATATATCGCTATTATGAATTGCTTCATTAACCTGTCAATCACCACTGCGGTCCCTCTCACACACACACCCCTCCTCTGCCTCCTCTGCATCTCTGGGGGGGGATGAAGGAGGGTGGGGAGGCAGGCAGAGGGAGGCCTGGGTGGCTTTGGAGAAGGGCCATTGAACATCACAGCCGTCCACCGCTGCCTGCAGGTGGATTCAGCCGCCTCGAAGGGCTTTGTTGGGAATGGGGAAGCTCTGTGGTGTCATTTATCATGAAGCTGCTGGTCAGTGGCACGACTCGAGGCCTGGACGTTGGTTCCTTGGGTTGCCGGGACGTTTCTCCCGAGGAGAGATTCGCCTGCAGTGCATTTGCAGTTTGGGAGAGCTGCTGATGGACCAGGCCCCCATAAACCCCCCAAAAGTGCTGATCTTGCCGAACGCCCCCGACAGTGATGGATTTGCTCTCGTCTTGCCTTTCTGTCGTGCTGCAGAACAGGAGGGCGGAGGAAGAGTGACGGGAGGGAAACAAAAGGCGGCGATTAACTCTTTTGTCTGGGCCTCTGCAGTTTTACAAGGCAAGATAAAGCTGCTGTCCAGGCGGGGCTCAGACGGGCCCAGCTGGTCACCTCCGCTTCAGTCTCTCCAGGATGATTTACTTCCCCAAGTGCTGTGCAAACAATTCTCTTCCGACCGAGGGCAGGAGGACGGGGCTGCATGTGGCGGGGTCCCCCTCTCGTGGGCCATTAAGCGGCATCATGCTCACAGCAGACACACGGATACCCTTGGCACGGCCACGCGGGCACAGGCAAGGAGGGATCTTTTCTGAAGCATTTCTCAAAAGGCCCATGCATGCAACCGGACACCTGGCCCCTCTCCAGCTCCAATATTCCCGCACAGCCTGTGCTGAACTCATACAGAGGGCGACAACGGCAACACACTCCACCCCTGAAGATCAGCTGCGGCTGAAGCTGGGGGCAAGCAAGAGTTCTTATGAAAGCTGCGCGAGGGAGGCATCTCTTCCCATGGTATGCACGCGCGCGCGCGCACACACACACACACACACACAAGCACAGACGAGATCCCTCCCATGCAAGAGGTTTTCCAGGATACTGAAACAATGAAAGAAGTGGCAAAACCTGTCATCAAAGGTGAAAATAGGGGTCAGTGTACACCTCAGGTATGTGTACACCAGTGTTCCCTCTAAGCTGAGTTAGTGTGAGCTAGCTCACAGTTTTTAAGGCTCCGGCTCACACATTTTTGTCTTAGCTCAGGAAGGATGGCTCCAGAGCAAACTAATTTATGCAGGAGCCAAATGACTTGCTCACAACTTTAATGCCAGTAGCTCACAAAGTAGAATTTTTGCTCACAAGACTCCGCAGCTTAGAGGGAACATTGGTGTACACATAGGGTTGCCATCCTCCTGGTGGGCCCTGGAGATCAGTAAATACAAAATAAATTGCTGAAAAAGTTCACAAAAATATAAAGATGTAATACATTTCAAATATCAAAGATGTAATTTAATATTTGTTTTCAACATACAAATAGATCTTATATTATTAAAAAAATCATTCTCAAGCATTGGCACATTTTGGGGGATATTGGGGCGTGCTCTTTACCTCCTCATATAGGCTTTAGAAGAACACAGAACATTGGGGACAAACTTGTCAGAGCAGACGCCTTTAAAGTTCTTGTGCAAGACACTTTACCACCTGGGCATCACAAATGTGGTCACTGTGCGGCCTGTTCTTTGATGTCAGAGACAGGTGTTCTGGATTTTCCGGAACTGAATTTTAAGAAAACACTCACCCATTTTTCATCTTGTGCCACGAAGTCCGTCATTTACCTAATTACATGTGCTTGTGCGCACAGGTATGTCGGGCAAACTTCAAGAGCATTGAGAACTAGGATCCTGGAACACAGATCGAAATTGAAGCATAAATGTATAACGGCTCCTATGGTCCAGCATTTTGATATAGCGGGCCACGGACCCAATGACTTTAAATGTGTAGTCTTGGAAGTGGTGAAACCCAAACCTTATACACACAGTGACATGCAGAGAATATTACTGCAAAGAGAGGCTTTCTGGACTTTTGTATTAAAAACAGAATATCCCACTGGTCTCAATGCTGCCCTTGATTTATCATGTTTTTTAGGAGAATGAATCTACACCCTCCTATATCCCTGCCTGTTATTATGTTCCTTAAACCCTTCATGAGATTCTCTATTCTTAATATACTTTGTTCTATACTCTTCCACATATTTACCCTCTTTGTAAATAGCTGGTTGCCAACTTATGATATACTTACCTTTTCTTCTGGTCAGTTGGCTGCCCAAACCGGATATGCACTTTGTATTTAAAGAGGAAGCTTCCAATTAACTAGCAAGACTGACTTGTCCATGTAAAAGAATCAGTGTGTAGGAGCCAACTTATGACATACTTACCTTCTCTTCTGGTCAGTTGGCTGCCCAAACCGGATATGCACTTTGTATTTAAAGAGGAAGCTTCCAATTAACTAGCAAGACTGACTTGTCCATGTAAAAGAATCAGTGTGTAGGAGCCAACTTATGACATACTTACCTTCTCTTCTGGTCAGTTGGCTGCCCAAACCGGATATGCACTTTGTATTTATAGAGGAAGCTTCCAATTAACTAGTAAGACTGACTTGTCCATGTAAAAGAATCAGTGTGTAGGAGCTGTGTGAGCCATTTTGGTGAGTTATTGATATATAGTATTCAGGATGACCACCTTTATTTTGGACTGTTGATTTGTTTATTGAACATTAACTATATTTAATATTTGTTATTATGTTTAAATTGACAGAATGTTTTGGATACCCTTGTGGTGCATTGAATTGCAGAAGTTCATTGAATATTGAAGACTGTATGTATTATTTCACAATTTTATTAAGTTGTATTTAAGTCATTTGTGAGACTTTTTGGAGTTTCTTGTTTCCTATTATATTGTATTTGTTATTGTTGATAGGAGATTGAGAAAGATCACTCGAAACGAACGCAGATAGACTCGAGAAGTGTTCGTCCTTGTTCCTGTGCTGTATACCTGCTAGCACCTGCTGGAAAACAAATATTAAATTACATCTTTGATATTTGAAATGTATTACATCTTTATATTTTTGTGAACTTTTTCAGCAATTTATTTTGTATTTACTATACTCTATTTGCTGGGCCCTGGAGATCCCCTGGGATTGCAACTGATCTCCAGACGAGAGAGATCCATTCCCCTGGGAAAAAATGGCTGCTTTGGAGAGGGTGCTGTACCCGACTGAGGCCCCTACCTGGGCACACTCTGGGTTGGGGAATTTCTGCAGATTTGGGGGGTAGAGCCAAGGGAGGGTGGGGTTGGGGAGGGGCGGGACCTCAGCCGGCTATGACGCCATTTTTCTCCAAAGCATCACTTGCCCCAAAGCCCCTATCCATACCTCGTGGCTAATAACCACTGATGGACCTCTGCTCTTAACATAAGAACATAAGAGATGCCAATGTTGGATCAGGCCAAAGGCCCATCCAGTCCAACACTCTGTATCACACAGTGGCCAGAAATACCAGGGGCCATCAGGAGGTTCACCAGTGGGGCCAGGACATTAGAAGCCATCCCACTGTTGGCCCCCTCCCCCAAGCACCAAGAAGACAGAGCATCACTTGCCCCAGAGTCCCTATCTATACCTTGTGGCTAATAGCCACTGATGGACCTCTGCTCCATATGCTTGTCTAATTCCCTTTTGAAGCCGTAATTCCCTTTTGAAGACGTATGAAGGAGTCTCAGAGTGGCTTACAATCTCCTTACCCTTACCCTCCCCACAACAGACACCCTGTGGAGTAGGTGGGGCTGAGAGAGCTCTTTCAAAAACTGCTCTTGAGAGAACAGCTCTGAGAGAACTTGTGACTGACCCAAGGTCACACCAGCAGCTGCATGTGGAAGAGTGGGGAATCAAACATGGTTCTCCCAGATTAGAGTCCACACTCTTAACCACTACAACAAACTGGAGAAATGATATGATAGGGAGAAATTGTATTTTATATCCCCCTCCCAAACTTAGGGTCATCCAATCCCCAACGCTAAGTTCAAGAAAGGGGAGTGACTAGAGAATAAATGAGTGAGAGAGAGGTGGGTTCAGTAATTTTAATGTAAAATCGAAGGGACCTACGGTAGGAAAGGATGTCTGTAATCTGCGATGTCTTTATACTAATGCACAGAGTATGGGAAATAAACAGGAGGAACTTGAACTTCAAGTATTGGAAAGTAAGTATGATCTGATAGGTATCACTGAGACTTGGTGGGATGAGTCTCATATATGGAGCACAGTGATTGAAGGATATACCTTGTTCAAATGGAACAGAATTAACATAAAAGGATGCGGGGTGGCACTACATGTCGAGAATAAATACGCTTGCACTGAAATTCAGGATTTCGAGAGTTGCCCTGTTGAAAGTGTGTGGGTAAGGATAGGGGGGGGGGAGAAGGGGATATTGTTGTGGGGGGTATACTACCGACCTCCGAACCAACTGGAGGAACTGGATGATGCATTTGTACAACAGCTTGCTAAACTTTCACAGAGACAGGATGTAGTGGTCATGGGAGATTTCAACTATCCAGATATTTGCTGGAAATCTAACTCTGCTAGACATGGGGCATCCCGCAGATTCTTGAATAGTCTTGTGAATAACTTCATCTCTCAGAAGGTGGTGGTGGGAGCCAGAGGATCTGCTAT